CTGATGTGGGGATGCAAGCCCGTAATCCCAGCTACTCGGGAAGCTGAGGCAGGAGGATTGCAAGTTCAAGGTGAGGCTACATCGGGAAACCCTGTCTGAAAAACAATCAAACAACAACAACAAGGAAAAGTCCACCCAGATTCTAGCCCTAATTTCTACCATCATTCCTAGCCCTTGCCTTAATTCCGAACCTTGAACGCTAGCCCCCATCCGGCGTACATTGTGACGCAGCCCTAACTGGCTCAGGCACCCCTAACCCCCCACTTCCACATAGGCACCAAGCGCTCGGAGCTGGAAAGACCAATCTGCCTCTGCTGCTGGGGACGCTGGGAACAGGAGACAGCCCTCTGCCCTTCCTGCCTTGCAACTCCGACCGTAGCTCACACTGGCTCCACCCACCTGCAAGCTAACTAGTCAGAGATGTGACTTGGGGCACCTGTCCCCGCAGCACCCGGAGGGCTTAGCTGAGCGGACACAGGCTCTCTGTCCTTCCTGCTACTTTGCCAGTGAGGTGGAGTGTCTGGCCCGAAAAGGAAAACCAGAGCCACGAGGCACAGCCATGTGGCCAATTGCTAGCTCAGTTTTCAAAAGGCATCGGCTTCTATGAAATTATTTTACCAAGTTTTAGTCGCCCTTTTACTTTTTTCAGTACTGAGGATTGAATCCATGCCTCATACATTCTAGGCAAGCACTATATCCATAGCCAGCCCCTCTCCCTCTCTTGTACCAGGGATCAAACTCGGAACCTTTCGAGGCAGGCATGGGGTCACTGAACTAAATCCCCTGCCCTCATAGCCGGCCTTTTCAAACAATTTTGAGACTCTACCTTGCCCAGGCTGGCTTAACTTCAGGTCCTCCTGCCTCAGCCTCCTGTGTAGTTGGGATTACAGCCAGGTGACTCAGCACCCAGCTTTTAGGTGCTTTTTAATGTTTCCGTTAATGAAACATTAAATGAGGAATAAGAACGTGAAGATTCACAGACCACCAACTTGCTGATATTTTGAATGTATTTTTAAATTTTCTTTTAAAACTTCTATCCCCCTCCCCCTCCCCTTTCCTTCTGTCTTCACGTTTTTCTCGCCCCTGCCTTCCTTTCTCTCCCCTTCTTCCCTTGTCCCCCTTCCCATTTGAACATTTCTTCCCATGTTCCAATGTCTACTACATATTTTGGTCCTTACTTTCACTTTCAGGTTCTCCCACCAGAGAAATAAATGATGTGGGATTTAAACATGTGTGTTCGATTTATTTCCCTTGAGAATATGGTCTCAAAGTCCATCCATTTAGCTATAAATGTCTGAAGCTCATCCTTAATGTTTTATATATATATAAACTTTATCCATTTGTCACTTAATGGGCATATAGGCTGTTTCCAAGATTTAGCTATTACAAACTGTGCCACTATAAACACGGGTGCACATATATCACTGTGGCATGATGCTTTTAATTCTTTTGGGAAGATGCCCAAAAGAGGAATAAATGGAACTTCTATTTTAGTTTTTGAAAAATACTTAGCCAGCTGGGGATTTAGCTCAGCAGTTTGGTGGCCTGCC